ATCAATGTTAAATAGAAGCGTCCGGCTCCTGGCCAGAAGGAAAAATGCCTAATCTTCCTTTTCTTTCTGTAGCCTGTAAAGTGGCTACTTGGTAATTTTTCCACAAAGAGTTAGGTGTTAAAAGTTTTCTTTCAGGCTTTGGTTAGGAGAATGGACTAAGCCAAAGGTGCCCTTCACCAGCAAGAGTCACCTCTAGAATTCAATACATTCCATCTATTGTTTTCTCATCTATCTGTCAGGAAATGTATACTTTGGTTTGATTTTTGGCTTACTCAGGGTAAGCCAGAAAAAAGTAGAAAGGATTATCTCTGATCAACAGCAGAAACATTTTTCAAACTCAAATATGTAAAGTCTCTACTCTTAAAAAGTCCTAAGCCAAGTCAAGAGCTAGGAACTGTTCATACAAATAAACATTTTTGAAGAGATATGTTTCTGTTTTGAATTCTGAAAGTGTGACTTCCTAAGGGAGACTAATTACATGCCCATACATTTCTAAGTCAGCCACAATACCGATTGAATCCCACACTTCCTTTTCTACACACAGGATCAGTGGTCCAAAAGTGAGGGGCCAGCAAATTGAGGTTCTGACGGTGGCAAAGAGCCAGAGCTGAGTATTTTTCCTCTTTTCCTGGTGTTAGATGTCTTGGAGTTATGGTGCTAAATATCATTAGGTATGGTAGGTGCACAATAGATTTCTTTGACCTTATTCAAAAAAAAGAAGAAGACACCCTCATCCCCATACCCTGTGAACAGAAGCCATGCTAAATCTTTCTAGGCATACAACAGTGTTATTTCAAGAAAATGAAACAAGACAAAAGGAGCAAAATTATCCATTACTTAGCACATTTCTGTTACGTTAAGTCTGGGCTTAAGCCCCTTTGGTCCTGTTAAACTTTTTTATTCTACAGCCAGCAGGGTTGTCTTGAGTTCTTTCTAATCCACATGCTTCATGTCTGTGATGTATGATGTCTCATCCTTTGCTGCCCCTGTAATAATCTCCCTGTGGAACTCCTTGAGAATTTCCATCTGGCCAGGTCTGATGTAGACGTGTGACCGGATCTTGGTGATGGCTCTTACAGCCTCCTCTGGACTCCAGTTGTACATCTGAAGTTCAAGGTTGGGTAATCAGAGAAACAAGCAGGTATAAGGTGTCCTTGACCTAATGACAAGTGCTAAAGGGCTCCCAGAATTTCATTTTTTTAAAAAAATTCCATTTGGGGAGGAGTTAAAAACCATGCTAGATATAAGTATATGAGAACACCTTAATGCCCTTAATTAACTGGCCCCAAATTCCTATGTAATGGGCTGTGGGGCACAAGTCAGTCTTTCTACCTAATTCTTGCTCCACCAAATCCTGGAAAAAGGTCCACCGTGAAGCTTGAATTTAGGAATTCAAGCCTGCCTAGGCCTACTAGATGTCCTCCTAGAAAGTGATGTTTTTAAGTAACTTGTCACCATGGCTAGAAAAACAGCACTTTTTACAATTGACTAGGAGAGTTATCTTTGTGTCCTAAGGATTCTTTCTGGTTTAGAACTCAATAGAGTCAAGAAAATACAGATTTCTAACCGGCTGGTTCAATTCTCAGACAAAATATCCTCCTGAGACCCTGTTTCCAGCGTTGGTATTGTTAAATCATATACTCACCAGTCCACAGTAACACAAACAAGGCCAGGCTAGTTATCTTTACATTTCCTTTCTCCTTAAACTATCCACATGACTTAGTAAATGCAGGCGCCAACAGGTAAAAATGAGTCAAGAAGGGGGCGTGTAATGGAATGATGGACTAGAGTACTTGCTTCTAAATATTTTTGAAAGCATCCCACCTGCTGACCATAACAAATTGATTGGCAAAATTCCATTGAGTTTCTAACAACTAATGTCCAGAACTTTACTCTGAAATACTCGAAGAAATCTGTAGTACTATATAGTATTATTTACGGTACTAGATTTCCTGCTATTTATAACAAGTGTTTCTAGCCTTTTGCTGGTGTTAACATCCTTTGCAACTCCGATTTTGAGTGTGTGCTGTCAGTGTTTGATGTACTTTCTCATTCAAGCCTCATAACACATTTAGTTTGAGGAAACAGCATCAGAGAGGGGAAGGCACTTTTGCCTAAGGTCTAATAGCTGGCAGGTGACAAAGCCACAGATCAGCCTATCCACAAAGATCAGGTGCTTTCCACCTCCCAACAGCCTGAAACTGGAGACATGCCTCCTTCCAGCAAGGCCCCGCCAGTAGACCATGCTACGGAAGTTCTGGAAATCTGCAAAAGGGACCAGTCCAGAAAGGCCTTTCCTACCTGAATCAGATACGCTGCCACCATTGTGGCACTTCGGGAGCGCCCAGCCTTACAATGCACGTAGACACTCTGGCCCAGCGACTGGTACTTGAGAACAAACTGGACTCCTTTCTGGAGGTTAGCCAAGGTTGGGATTCCAGTCATGTCTACTGTGCTGAGTCGCAGCTGCTCAACTCCTAATCTCTTCCACTCCTGGAACCAGGTCCATCAGTATAAAAAAAGAAGATGAAAAAAGCCTGATGTTAGTGGTATGAAGATGGGCTCCCAAGAGGCAGAAAAGCAACAAAGGAGCTTCAGTGTTTACTACAAAGTGAATATACCATTTACTATTTTCTTGTTTTTGTTTGTTTTGTCTGTCTGTTTTTTTATTCTTTTAAAAAACAAGAAAGACCTACATGGTTGGTCTTTCATCAAACAATAGCTAGGCTGCTGAGTTAGAATTATGTCCAAGATTGAAAGTGTTCTTAAAGTGCCCTTCGGGCACTTTGAATCTTTAGTTGCAAAATATTAGTTGTATAAAATTCATCTACAAAAGTTGTGCAACTGTTTTTGCATAATGTGTGCAGTGATCTAGTTGCAGGGTTGGGCTACTATATTTTACAAGAGCTTTCATTTCTCTATCCATAAATCTCTTTTTTACCACTTTTTTCTTGAGAGGATATGTGGTAGAAAATAAGAGTTATTTTAAAATTGAAACAATGCACCTACCTTTGCTAGTGCAATTATCACTTAAGAATCACAAACAGGAGAAATAAGGCCTCTGGCAAACTGGGCAACCCATTTTTTTTTTCCTTTTAGACTTCTGATAGGCTCCAGCTACTCTTGTTATTAATCTCTAGCTAGAACCAGAAAATTTATGACTATGAATGAACATCAATATTTAAGTCGATAATGAAATTAAAAATAACAGCAGTTTTGCAGCATGTGACTTATGCATCAATTACACCAGAAACAGCTGGGGAACTTGCTAAATATTCAGATTCCTGAGCCCCACCCTAAAGTTCCTGAGTCAGAATCGCTGGGGGTTGTACCTAGGAATCTGCCATTTTAACAAGACTGTCAGATCATTCTTAGATATATTAAAATGTGAAAACTACTGCCTTGGAGACTTCTCTTCTCTAAGCTGGTAGGATGATATAGCTGCCTCCTATAAATACCAATGCATCACATCAAGAGACCAAGCACTTTTTGTGACTCTTCTTGCTCCACAGGACTGACCACACTAAGGAACATTTATCATTTTGACTAATAGTTCCTGAGGCCTTGTGGCAAGGTACTTTGGGAAATTCAAGGAACAGTTATCCATTTCTTAAAAATGTATGCCATCACTAATCAATATATTTTAAATGTGACAAATATTTTTAAGGTTTCAAAATATCTACAGGTTGAAATAGCAGCATCTTCATCTGGCTAGATCAGTAAACAAGAAAGATAATTGTGTAGTGCTAATGGATGTCAAACACTACAAAGATAAGGCAACATCTTTATATATAAACATAGGGCAACGGCTAATAACTATTGCAGAGAGTTCTACAAACATAACATTTAATGAAAATTATGTTTTAGGCCTGAATTTTGTTACAATAGTACGTTCAAATTCCACTATAGCCCTAACATAGGAATAAAAATTCCCTTAAACCAGAAGCAAATGAACTCTATGCAGTTTTTCAACGTATGGTTTTATGATAAATTCACTCTCTGCTGGGGGGTGGGAGGGCAGGAATAGCTTTTCTTAGAGTTTATATGGCCTTCATTTTGAATGCCTAGGGCAGTGCCTTAGCGCTTACAGATCCATACTTAGTGCTCATTAACTGTTGAATGAATGAAATCAAGCCACAGAAAAGTTGCCCTTCAATTTTGGTTACTGATTTGAGTTACCCATGTTAAGAACACATCTGTGTATAAAGTTGTCTGACTTTGTCAACTCTACTTTTAAATGCCTTTCACAACAGTTTCTATTTCACAGTTTCTACCCCCAGGCGCAGCCATTTAAGCTTAGAGCACCAGACCCTCCTGAGGAGGCAAAAAAGCCTGGGACACCTGTCTCTGGGGCACCGTGACCTGCTGGGCCCCTCCCCCAACTTCCTCCGGCTCTCCCAGGCCCCGGGTGGTGGGCGAGGCTGGCGGGTGCCCCCGGCCCCTCACCTTTGAGGAGTTGCACAGGAATCTGGTCTCATACTCCTCGTTCATGGTGATCACCCCGCGCACGTTCTCGTCCTGTATCAGCTGCCGAGGTAAAGAGGGGGCTCAGAACCGGACGCCGAGGCCCGGGCGGCGCTCGCCCGGCTCCCACGCCCGGCGCGGTGCGGCCTCCCGGCCCGGCTCACCCGGCGCGTCATGCTCCGCAGCGGCAGCGCGCCCAACAACACGGTGTGGTCGATCCGGTGATACCAGTCGCGGTGTGCGCGGCCCGGCACCTTCCCGCGGAACATCGTGTACAGCAGCGTCGGGTAGAAGAGCACCCGGGCCAGGCCGGCCTCCAGCAAC